GGGCTTTTCAAAGGTTGAAGAAGAGTTTGTAGAATTGCTAAAAACTTATAGAAAATTCATTGGTTCTTCATATGTGCTTGCATTCATATCGATTTCTTAGACACATCATCTGGATTTCGAAACCCTAGATTTTTGATAGATGTGAGAGCATTATTAATCACCTGAACTAGTATTAGATGAGCAAAACGCCCTAGTACAAAGAGATTTGGCTTAGGAGTTTTGTGAACAATTGAACCTGATCATTACTGCATGTTTAGGTTGTTAGGATTTGCAAAAAGATTTGAAACTCTGTGATTTAGACATAGATAACTTCTGCAATGAGAACTGATTAGTTATATCTTTAAACAAACGCTTAGTGGGAGGCAACCCACTGGTAAGTTATCTAGCTATCATACTCTAGTCTATTTTCGTTTTCTACAAAAAAAAATCAAAAAAAAAAAAAGAAGAGTCACTTTGTTCAGTTTGTTTGGATGATATCTTGTGAACTTGTTGGACCATGGACTATGCTTTGTTTGGATGTTTTGATGTGTGTTTTGAGTGCTCTTACAGTTTGACTTCGGAGTACACATGATGGCATAGCATTTAAACATCCAACATGTCGATTTCTGAAGTATCAGAGATGGTGACGCTCGTCACCAATCTGGTGACGCTCGTCACCAGGTCCTTTGCGAGGTACCACTTTTCCACCTTGGTTTTACACGTTCTCATGCTTCATTTTGACCAACTCTTGGCTTAATAACACTGGGGACAGTGTTGTTTAAGTCTGGGGGAGGTGGTTACTGACGTTGTGTGCTTTGTGTCATGTTTATAGAGTCTTAAAGTTGAGTCAAAAACCTGTTTTTCTAGAGTCAAAATTTTTGAAACTGTCAGTTTTTCTTGGAACTAACCATAGGACGTTTTTGCTGATAAGAACCATTGCCACAGTAGTTGATTACAAGTCTTACTAAGTTGAAAGTCATAGGTAGATCAGTCTAGCAATGAAGGTTTAGGTTCTTAGAGAATCTGGAAAATTTACTGTTAGCTCCACCTTAATGAACTTTAAACTTCTTGTCTTGGTGATTGATTCTTATTGATCTTGATTCTCTCTTTAAGTACTGACAATAAGGTTAAGATACAGTCTCTCTTTGATCTTCCCTGATGTAGTTTTTAAAAGAAATTAAGTCCAAAGAATGGTGCATTCATGACCCTGTCTCCTCACAAGGAACAACAGTAGTGAACACATTCAAGAACCTGTCTCCTCACAAGGAACACAAGTATTGGGTAGCACCATATCTTAGACTGTAAAAGTTGAAAAAAAGAAGAGAAAAAAGATCGAAAATATCCTAAGGAAAAAGATTAAGGGAAGAGAAAATAGGAGAGCTGTGTTGAGATTGATTTTGTTCAGTTGTTAGGAAGGGAAAAGAATCTGTAAAGTGATTGAGATGATAGAGCCTTGATGAGATATCACACTTAGATAAAAAATAAGGAGTTAACAGTAGAAATTTCGGATTTCTTGAAGGGATTTGGACTGGACTTTAGAGATTTGCTAAGCTTGTGATAATTAGACTGAAATTTGATCTTGTGTTGACTATGTAGTATGTGGATTCGAAAGCTCTAACTAGTGTGGTGTTCCTGATGACTGACTGACTGTTTCTTGTTTTCAAACCTCGACCTTATTCTTTGTCTAATGTTTGCTTGAGGGCAAGCAAAAGCTAAGTCTGGGGGAGTTGATATATCATGGTTTTTATGGTTTTTAACCATGATATAAATTATTTTTATTGAGTCTTTTTGGTCTTTTTAGAATCCTAGAAGAGTCTTTGCAGGTTAAAGCATGTCTGGAGCATAATTGGAGATTTTGGAACCTTTTGGAGCATTCTGAGTTGAAACCACGAAGTACCTAGCTCGAAGAAGAAAGTATGCCATATGGTGATGCTCGTCACCAAGCTGGTGACGCTCGTCACCCAGAAAGGAAGGGGTCGTGGCCTGTTTTTAAAAGATTAGGAAGAAATTGCAGTTTTGGCCCAAAAGTTCCAGTATTTGCAAAAAGACCCCAGATCGTGTTTTAGCTTGTATATTAGGTTTTTCAGCCATTCTTTTGGCAGATATCTTGTATCTTATTATTTTAGAGAGTTTTAGAGAGAGATTTGTAGAAGAGCTTTTGGAGAGACAAATCAGACTCCTTCAGAGCAGATTTTGAACTCCTTTATTTCTACTTCTTATTTCTATTATGCAATCTATTCTTTTCATGATGTTTTCTCAAATCACCATGTCTGAGTAGTTTGTTAGTTAAGTTAGGGCTTTTCAAAGGTTGAAGAAGAGTTTGTAGAATTGCTAAAAACTTATAGAAAATTCATTGGTTCTTCATATGTGCTTGCATTCATATCGATTTCTTAGACACATCATCTGGATTTCGAAACCCTAGGTTTTTGATAGATGTGAGAGCATTATTAATCACCTGAACTAGTATTAGATGAGCAAAACGCCCTAGTACAAAGAGATTTGGCTTAGGAGTTTTGTGAACAATTGAACCTGATCATTACTGCATGTTTAGGTTGTTAGGATTTGCAAAGAGATTTGAAACTCTGTGATTTAGACATAGATAACTTCTGCAATGAGAATTGATTAGTTATATCTTTGCGATTCATGTTCAAGACGGTTTTAATTCATTCCTGATTGCATGCATTCTACACTCTCAGATTCAACCTGCGAACTGTCCTGACTTAGCGCCTTTAGCCTTCTGAACTTTAAGAACAAGCATAAAAACGCCCTCTTGCATTTATTTTACTGTTTTGCATTACATTCATTATTTATCGCTTAGCTTAATCTGAATCTATAATCGCTAGTGTGGTTTACATACTCCCTTGGGATTCGATAACCCCTTGTACTACAACTGCTTTTGCTGCGCACTTGCAGTAGTTTTATTTGGGTAAAACCTGACCCTATCAAGTTTTTCCATGCTTCAACAACTGATTTGTGCTGTTGTGAACCCAAAATCTTGGGCCTTGAACTTCTAATGCAGTTCTAGACACTAAAGAGCAAGTGTTTTGGTACACACAAAAGAAATTTTAGACCAAAAAGAGTAATAAGTAACCCAAAAAAAAAAGTAAAAGCTTGATCTCAAACAATCTACAAATCCAAATGCTTAGAGCAATCCCAAATGGCAACTGCGCCAAATTGATGTAGGCCTTTGACCTATTTCAATTGCCTACACATACTCATATCATTGTAGTATATAGGTGTCAATCCATAATGGGAGAATAAGACACTAGGAATGTAATAGATCATTCAATTCAAGCAAACAAGATGAAATGATGGAAACTATAGTTCTAATAACTAAAGAAAACTTCAAACAAGCAAAAGCAAATAGAGCAAGGCTAAGATAAACAACAATTTCAAACTAAGCAATGTAAAAGACAAAAGGGACCTAAGATGGGGTTATTGATCAATGAGGATTCTCAACTTAATTAGTAATGCTTACAAACTCACAAATAAGCTATTCCTAGGCATAGAACTAACAGCTATGACTAGTCCAATCTTTTGGATACTAATCACTTTGCTAGAACAATCATCCAAGAACTAATTCTCATTAGTGAACAAATAATCAACAAGCATTACAATCAAATAATCCAATCCTGTATTGCCAATCCACTCCCTAGACATCTAATTTCTTAGGTTATGATAAGCAAATCTCTTACTTGACTCATTCACACATTTCAACAAACACTTACTAGGCACAGGAGAAGCCTAAGCTCTAAATCAACTTAGCAAAGGTTAATCTAGCATTAAGAGCATCAATAAGAAGAAACAATAAGATTAAGCACTAAGCAGTCACTAATCAAACTTCAAATTCCCTTTAATTTATCCTATCTCAAATCCAAAGAAAACTACTCACTAAACATAGTGAAAACCATCAAATCTATGAAAAAAGAATGGTTAAACATGATTAGGGAAGAAAGATTAAATAAAGAAGTGTAGAAATTTAGATTAAAAGATGAATTTTGTTCTTACAAATCACCAAAACAATATAATAAAAGAGGATTTCAAAGCAAGAACAAGCCTTTCCAATATTTTTAGGTCTTCAACTATTTATACTAAGTGACATAGGACCTTAGAATAATGGCAAAAGTGTAAATATTTGGGCTTCTGGGCGAGCACATATCGGGCTCTGAGGTCGACACCATGCTCGATATGCTTCTTCTTGTGGGTTGGATCTCAGGTATACTGCTCGATGGGCTGCCCATCATAAGGACGAGAACATTCCCTAGAGGTTTATGTCGGGCAAGTTGGTTTGCCCCTGGAAGGTTACATCGGGCATGCCTTGCCCGATATGGTGTCAGATGTAAGTGTCCTGTCTCTCGGATATCGTGCATGCTGCTTGATGTGATGTCCAATATAAGTCTTCTCATTCTTGACTGGTGGATATCAGCTCTGGAAATGTGCTCATTCGGCTCTCCTTGGCTGGGACATCTTATTGGATCACTCCCATACTTCCACAATGTCTCCAACAGCTCCTTTGGTACCTAAAAACATTCCATATGCAAGGAAAATGCAAACTATATCCTAAATGCAACTTATGTCTATAAGATAAGGAAATGGGACAAATGATAAAGAAAACATGCAAGATGAGACCAAAACATGTACTAAATCCAATCCTAAATGGTGTATATATAAGAGACATCACTAGTCGTAGACTAAACTGGCAAACATCCTAGATTCCATTTTGTTGCCTCAACCCATGCATAAGATAGATTTGTAGCCCAAGGAATAGATCGTTGCTGAAAAATAAGTATGTTTCTACTTTTCCAGAGCCTCCACAAGATTGCCAGTGGTAGTTTATGTAGTTGTGGTATAATGTCCTTGAGACTGCTATCCATAATAAATCACACTTTATCTTCTAGGGAAACATTTACATCGTGGATCCCTGATCCTCGCCAAATTGAACGTGGTGGATAATCAAAGAATAGGTGTTGTGTAGTATCTGTTGATTGACAACATCTTTTCTATATTGAGTTTACAGAAACATGTCGGTATTGTTACGCTTCACATGAAGCTAGGGATTTTGACAACCTACGCCAAAGAAAGTGTTTCACCTTTGGAGGTGTTATAAGTTTTCATACTTTAGCTTTGAGGGCTGTTTTACCAGGGGTAGACAACCCAGTCAATAAGCACACTTAACAAAGTATATGCCATCCTAACATATCACACCCCTATTTTGGGAAAACTTTCATATCGAATACCTTCAAAGCATCATCTTCTTCCACAAACTCTCGTATCTTATTTTTATTCCATCATGTGTTGTCAGTGTTAAACCGTTTGCTAATTGTAGATTATTCTATCCTCTCATGCTGCGACATTGGAGACTTGATAGGATGAGTAGGAAGCCAATTTATCTGACCAAAAATCTATCTTGGTTCCATCTCCTATCAACCATCATAATCCTTTTTGTATCATATCCCAGCCATGAAAAATTGATTTCTATGCATACGAAGAGTGATATCATACATTATTGCATCATGTTAGGTGCCACTTTGCATAGGTTTGCATCGCATATCATCCATTCAAAGTCCAAAAGTGTCCCATTTACATCCATTTTAGGCATGGCATGCATTTAGATTAGGATTGCATGTTTGCATACATTGTGAGTGTATTTTCAGGTCTTTGGAGAGCTAAGGAGACACTAGGGAAAAGGATGGAACAAGTGAACAAAGGAGTTTCAGCAAGAAGAAGCCATTCAAGGTGTTGAAGCCTCATACCGAGCACCCATACCGTGGAGAGTGATAGCTTGCGATATTGTAGTGTTTTAGGATGCATTTTTTACATATTTTCTCTTGTTCTTGCATTATTTCTTATCATTTTTGTCTCATTTGCATATGGAAGTAGACATGCATGCATTTAGATTAAGAATGCATACATTTGCATGTTTAAGGTGTATTTCAGGTGTTTTTGGGGCTAAGGAGACTTACGGGAGGATGGAGGATCATCTGGGGTCAAATAAATATGCAAGGAGAATGAAGCCAAGCTGTTTAGAAGCTGCACCAAGGTCCCACATCGACGTCTTTGCTCGGTTCAACAGAATGTGAGTTATAAATTGGTCCGGGCGAAGCTTCTTTTATCAGATTCAGGCTCCACGTTCCTCATAAAAGTTGTAGAGGATCGAAATATATTTCCAATGGTTGTCGAGCCATACCATTTGGATTTGGGGTTCAACAGATATAGTGATTTCAGCTCTGCAGTGTTCACCAGGCTATTGTATCGGACAAGCACATCGAGCAAAACCCAGGAAAGCCTGCCCGGTTCGTCCTGAGCCGACAAAAGCTGCCTGAATCAACAGGGACAGACTGCATTGTCCAACTGCATCTAGCAAAACATCTTCCGTACTGCCCGATATGCTTTATCCGCGCTGTTGACCAACTTTTCTGCTTTTGACCAAACCTTATCCTTTCATCTTTATAAGCCTTTGGCTTATCTTTATTAGGACGTATCTTCGTTTTACCCTATTTTCGACCTTGTCGGAAACCACAAAGATATTTTTATGGGATTTTGATCAAGATCATCTTTTTAATAAAGTTTTGCACCTTTTGTCATTTTTTGTCTAGTTCTTATTTGATCATGTTTGATTTGTCATCTCTGCTTGTTTCTGTTGATTTCATGATGTGTTGTGAGTAGTTTCATATGGTTTGAGGTTAGAGCATATTTGGGGATGATTGGTTGATAAGTTAGGGAGTTTTGGTTTAATTCTTGCTTAGATCACTTAGCTTTGTTGATCTTAGTGTTTAGTAACTCTTTTAGGGTGAAACTGTTCTTAGGTGTTTGCTGCATCAAAATTGTTTGTTTAAATGCCTGAAAGAACTCTATTAGGAACATTCTCCTAGATGATTATATTGCGTTTGGATAGCATGTTTGGTCTATAAGAGTCTTGTGTTTTCATGCTGGTTTTGCACAAATACGCCATCACAAGTGGGTCTGACATGTGCTTAACTTAGACCCCTCTGCTCTGTTTGCAGATTGATTGATTTAGTGGCTTGATCATGTTCTTTGCTTGTTATTAGTCTTGACTATTCTAGGTTTGATACTAATTAATTCTCATGTCATTATTGCTCTAGTCTTGAACCTGCGTCTTATTGTTCTTTGCATTTTGATCATTTTGTGCTCTGTTTTTCTCTGTTCTTAGTTGCTTTGCTTTGCTTCATTTGAATTGTCTTTAATCTCATACCTTGCCTTGCATTTTAAGTTATTGCATTTAGCTTTCATTCTCTCATCTTGCATTTCCATTTGACTCTTGCTTTCTTTGATTCTTGTTGCATTTAGCTTCTTTGCATTTTATACTTTGCTTTAATCTTGCTAGTTTTCTCTTTTGTGCATGCATTTCATCCTTGATCATTTAGGCTGTTAGATAATCTTTATTTTATCCTTTTGGTTAAGCTTAGTAAATTTCTTGCATCCCTTTTATTCTAACTCCTGGATGGATTAATAAAACATCTTCTATACTACATCTGATTAGAGAGGGATTGAATTAAGACTTGCAAAAGTCCTTCTTCAGAGAGCTCCTCTGTTCCTCCACAGTACAGCCCATACCGGCCAGGAGCACATCTGTACACCAAGGACTTCCCATGGAGGCGATCAGAACGACGATAGACGTGTCGTACACCAATGACTCTCCACGGTGGCGAGTGTACCGAGGGTGGACAAACAGCCTCAGGACATATTGATGAGTCATACAGAGGAGGGTTGTCTGATGCCGTGTATGGTGCGAACCAGGTTCGAGGACTTCAAACGAGCCAAACTTCAGACGCAGCTTCTTCAGCACGCACCAACCAATCGTACCGTGGAGAGCCTGTTTTTGCCTTTCTCGATACAAGCCATTTTTGGAATGTTGACCAAGAGTAGACCTGTTGACTAGGTTGTTTTTAAGTTGACCAGGTCCATTTTGGGACTTTAGTATAAAAAGAACTGGTCCAAAAATTGTGTATGCATCCTATTATCCACCATTTTTATTGCTTTTGTCAAAAAAAACATTTCTTTTTGTAAGAACGTACCTTAAGAGCTTTGATCTTGAGATTTTATCTAATTAGATTCTTTGTTATTTCTTGCTTATCTTTGTATTTTATCTATTTGCAATCATACTTAACCATAAACTTGTGGATCTAAACATGATTAGTGAGTAGTCCATTTTTAGGCTTGAGATCAAGGTAGATTAGGGTGGTTTAATGTTTAATAAAAGTGTTAGGTTGTTAGATCTTTGTTAATCTCTTCTTATGTGATTGTGCTTAATGCTTAGTGCCACCCTTTATGAGAAATAGATCCTAGGCGTCATTAGCTTGCATGTAAGGTGTGTCAATATGCTTGAATGAAGTTCATTGCTTGAAAATAGTGTTTTTATTGTCATGACTCATTGCATTTATCATTTCTTGCATGATTGATCTTATTGCTAAAGTACTAGAATGGGAAATTGCCATTAGACATTGATTATTCATGGAAGTGTGAGTTAGTGTTTGAATCATTGCATAAGAGATTAATATGCTTAGCCTAAGGGATTAGTTGTCTAAGGTGATTTTTGGCTCTATGGACCTTGTGTTTAATGCTTTCTGATTGTGTTTCCACCATTGCAAGTGGCTTAGGAATATGGTTAGTAGAGAAATTAGTGTCAAGGGATTCAATTAGTCTTTATTAGTGGTTTTTGCTTAGAGATTGATGCATTGATTGTTTATCTTGCACCTTGATCATAATTTAAACCACCCATGTCACATTGCCTTAATCTTAATCATAGCCTTTTAATATTTCGAACTCGTCAAGTATTGCTCTGTTTTGCTCTGTTTTGTTTACTATTAGAATTACTCTTGTTTGTTTCATAAGTTCTAATTACAATGGTTACTTGTTTGCACTTTATGCTTGCTTGAGTGTGAACTTTTTAAAACCACCTTATTGTCTAGGTTTACAAGTGTGTTGCATCTTCTCTAAACCTCCCTAAATTATGGATTGATTAAACTCATACGCCATTATATTACATCTAGTGCATTGAGGTTACATTCAAGACGAAAAAGTCATGTGTCAAAGGGTGCTTCTGATCTATAGCCGATAAAATATTACCATCATTGTAATACCAACCTCGCAACATTCTTACCATCAGACACTCAGATTTTTGCAGCAGACGTCAGGTTTGCTTTCCTAAAAAACTTTGGTTGAATTTTGCAATGTCTTTAAAACCTAAACTGTAACGACCCAAAACCAAATAAATTAGGAAAGGCCCAATTAAACCCCCCAGCCCAAGTCAGCCCAAACCTAGCTCCACCACCTTCATCGTCTTCGATTAAAAGCTGCAACAAAACTCTTGTCGAGTCGCACACACCCTCATCGTCAGCGAAGCTCTGCCCGAATTCCATCACACCCGCCACCGCCGTTTCAGAAAAAGCCGGAGCTCCTACGCGTGATTCCGTAACCGTGAGAAGAAGCGCACGCGAGTCAACGCCGAGCCGCCATCTTCTCGATCACATCGCCGCCGATCACCAACGCCGGTGATCTGCTGCTCCGAGTCATCACCGTCGTTCGTGAGTCTCATCGTGGGTAAGCGGTTCATGTTTCCATCACCTTCATCTTTGTTTGGTATTTCCCGAGAGTAACCATAACGTTGATCCGCCATTGTTGTAGTTGGTTAATCTTCAAGCTTCTTCTCCTCCGTCCGTTTGTTCTGGTGTTGCTGTATCATCGCTGCTTCATTGTTGTGGTAAGAGATCCGAGTGCATTCATCAACCGTGAGTCAGTTGTTTTAGTCCAAGAATTAACGTAACATGCATACGTTGTTGTTCTTTGGTTGCTTCAGCTCCAAGTAACTTTGTTTGGGTTCTCTTTCTGTGAGATCTCCTTCTGTGAGATCTCCTTGTTATCGTCGTGAGCTGCTTCTCTTCCGTTCATCCGAAAATCAAAGGTGAGGATGGGATCCGTGGATTCTTAAAGCTTCTAGTTAATTAGTATTCGTAAATGCTAGGTTTAGAGAATTGTTTGTTGATTGTGGTGATTGAGAAAATCATGTTGAGTGATTGTTATGAGTTTAGATGATGAAATGTTAAGTTGATATGATGTGTTGGTGAAGAGTATATGTTATATTTTGGCGAAGTCGGACTGAGAGCGAGGACATGGTGATCATGTTTAAGTCTGTATTTCAGTGCAGTCGGACTGAGAATGAGGACATGGCGATCCCATTAAAGCCCGTTAACCGGCTGACGAGCCAAAGGAAGGTGGAAGACCTTTCGAGGTGCCCGACCAGCCCAGTGTCATGATAATTTATATTGAGTTAATGGTGGTGGAAGACCTTTCGAGGTGTCCGACAGTCGGGTTACCTTGTGATTTGTGTTGAGTTGTGATGTGATTAGTTTATTGTTGGTTAGCTGTGATTGAAATTTCGTGTTGATTGCTGTCTGCTCTAGAGTTAGTATTTGTGTGCTGTTAAATAGTAGGGTTGGGAATTATGTGGGCGGACATCACCAACTTCACTGAGTAATTCGTTACTCACCCCCCTCCCCCCCCCCCCCCCTTTTCCCCTTTTCAGGTGAGGAAGTGGTTGAGGACTAAAGTTCAAGGCGATCGTTCGGGTGCTAGATTTTGAGGATTATTTATGCTTAGTTCGAAGTTTCGTTTAAGAAAAGTTTGACTTTTATTTAAATTTATTTTAAATGCAACGGGATTTCTGGTTACAACGGTTTATGCCGGTTTGTTTTAGACGTTTGGTTTAAATAATAAAATAACAAATTTCGGATATTATTATTTATTATTTATTATTTATTATTTAGTTTATTTTTAAAAGTATGGTTATTACATAAACGCCCTTCATTCTTTGGTAAACTGAGACAATCTCAAGCATACCAGTGCATTCCTCTCCTACCTTGTCCAGAACTCCACCAAACCTTGGTGAAAATACTGTTAATATTTTTATAAATCTGTTTGAGAAATTTAAATATATTTATTCCTTCTATTTGGGAAGAGAAACCCCTAAAAGAAGTGATCTCAGATTCCCGGTGGTGCCCCGGAAGGCAAGCAAGTCCCCAGAATGAGCATACTAAAGAATGGGTTATGACGATCCCTGGAGGGAGCTGGTAGGAAGAGCCCAAAGGCCTGCGTGACTAAAGTCTCAAATTCCCCAAGGAATAATGTCCTAGATGGCAAGCAAGTTTGCAAGGGAGCATGTTGTTTGAAATTCGGACAATGAGTTTTAATGAATGCTCGAAAAGCTAATATAATGCCCTTGGAGGGTGAGATAATACAAACAAGAATAAATGACAGGTTTGTGAGAGTGATAAGTAAAAGAGGATAAAACTTAGAGGGTTGTGGGCCGAGTGATAGCAGGATTAACTACTAAGCAAATCCTAACACACTAATGTCATTGCAGCATGTAAGGTATCAATCCATCGGAGTTTTCAAGGCACCAAGAATACAGCAAATCATTTAAGTCAAGCTAGATTCAAGAAAGCAGTTGTGATCAAACTAAACAAGTCTAAAGACTGAACTAAACAGAGCAGGAAATTCAGATATATGAAGTAAGGATCTAAGATAGGGGTTATTGATTAAGAAGGGATTATAACCTAACTAGTGATGCTTTAAAAACCATTCAAACAATGCTATCTTCTAGGCATAGGATTAACAACTATAACTAGCTCAATTCCTTGATACTAATCACTTTGCTAAGCACACATTCAAGATAAATCTCTTTACTTAAACACATGATCAGCAAGAATTCAGAACAGAACTCCAATCCTATAGAGCCAAAATGTACCTTAGACATCTAATTCCTTAGGCTAAGCATACAAATCCTATAAGAGACTCTAAGCAGCATTTCATCAAACACTTACCAGGTGCAAGAGAAAGCCAAAATACAAAACAAGCCTGGCCAAGACTAATCTAGTGTTAAGCACATCTAATATAGAGAAGACAATCATATTAAGCACAAGACGTCACTAATCTAGTCCTAAAGCCCCTCTAATCTATCCCATCTCAAACCCTAGATAAGACTACTCACTAGCCATAGTCAAAACAAAAAATTCCAAAGAGAAAAGATGGTTAAGCATGATTAAGAAGCAGAATAAACAAGAATAGATCAAAGGCAAATACAGAAATTCACTAAATTAAGCAAGTTCTTACAAAGAAAAGCTGAAAAAAGAAAAGTTTTAAGTGCAAGAACAGAAGGAAAATAATAAGATATAAGTTGCATAACCATTTTAGGACTTTAGTATTTATAGGGAAACAAGAAAATGCCTAGTAAACCAAGATTAAACCGAAAATAAGCTGACTCGGACAGACCATATTGACAGTGAACATCGATATACATGTCGATATCATCTCTTCTTCTGGGTTGTATCAATGTCTACTGGTCGATATGCACGTCGACACAAAAGGCTTCCAAGTTGTATCGGTTTGGCTCTCCAAGGTGTGAAGTCGATACAATCGCCCTTTAGTTAAGGCTCATCGATCAAGCAAGTCAATATGGCACCTCAGTATTGTCCTGTCATGTGTATCGATTTGAGACGTCGATACACTGCTCGATATGGACTCCATTCTGCTGCATCGAGGTGTCTAAGTCGATACGCTTCCTTCACATTATGCCTCTTTCTGTATCAATGTTGAAGTGGTCGATACTCCCATCGGTATGCTCCGTATCGATCAGATGATGTCGATATCCATGTTGATATTGGTCCATCCACCTTTGTCTCTTGCCTTGCTCCATTCCCAGCTCACACCCATTGCACCACATGACCTCCACACTCCTTCAAGTACCTGAATAAAACTTCAAATGCATGCAAAATGCAATGCAGCTCCTAAAACTACACTAACTCCTAAATGTATGCAAATAGGACAAGAAGAAGCAAAGTATGCATGTTTAGAGACTAAAACTAGTGATGAACGCAAGCTAAAATGGTATAAATTTTGGAGATATTACCTTAGCTCGATATGTAGCTCGGTATGATTTGAAAAAATTCCATATCGGACTAACATGTCGATATTCACATCGATACACCTTGACATTTTCTGAACTGAATGTTTTCATTCGTCACTTAAGATGTATCGACGTGGGATATCGATATTCACTCCGATATGCCTTAATAAAGGGCGATTAATCGCCTTTCGTCCTCGAAGTTAAGGCATATCGGTGTGTTACGTCGATATTGTGCTCGGTACACACTCTTTGATGTCATATCGACCTGGTACGTCGATACATGTGACCGATACGAATACCAGTTGAGGCATATCGAGCAGTTTGTACCCCGATACATTGCTTGTTAAAGCGTATCAGATTGCCTTATATCGGTACTCTGATCGATACAGAAATCCTCACAGGAGTAGCGATCAGGATCACCCCGATACGCACGTCGATACATGTCCAACATACTTGCATCGAGCAAGACATGCTCGATATACACGCTCGGTATGACTTGTGTCGACGTGCATGGCCGATATGCTGGTCAATATTGACCCTTCTTCCACTCTTCCTTCTCCCAAGCTTGGTTCATTCACCCTCAGTTCGAATCTGGTTACTAGAGACACTAAAAAACTCCCACACAAATATTTAAAAAAACATAAAAAATGCAAAGCTATATACAAGGTACCATGGGATTGCCTTCCAAGTGCGCTTGTTTATAGTCACTTAGCTTGACTTTCCTCAGCTCCTTAGTTGAGGTGTGGAGCAGGAGTCTTGGAACTCCTTGGTGTGATCTTGCTTTCCTTGACTCTCCTGGTGATTCCATCAATCTTCAGCACTGCAAAAGGCTTAGACTTTCCCTCTTGCTTTATCTTGTAACAAACTTCACCACTCTTAGAGCCAAATGGTCTCAAGACCACTCCTTCTTCTGTAGAACCCAATAATATTTCATTCACAGCATCAGAAACACCCACTTCGAGGACCTCCTCTTCAGTGAGATCAGCGAACATCCTGGACAGACAGCAGCCATCAAAACTTGCACCAACATAGCCTTCAAACTCTGGCCAATGCTATCCAACTTTCTTCAACTTCTTGACCTCCATTGAGAAGGCTTGCTCATCTTCCAGCTTGTTCCCTTTGGAGTCAAACTTCAGAACCTTCTCTTTGGTCAACCTTAGCTCTATTGTGCACTCCTTTGCGTCAAATATTGCGCCAGCTGAAGCTAAAAATAGTCTCTCTAGAATGATGGCGTTCTTGATCTTTCCTTCAACATCTAAGACCAGGAAATCTGTTGGTACGATCACGCCTTCAATCATCATTGGCACATCTTTGAGAGCTCCAAGTGGTGCCTTTACTGACCCATCAGCTATGGTAAGAGATACATTACTCTCTTGAAGTTGAGTGTAGCCAAGCGCCTTAGCAGTAGAGGATGGGAGAAGGTTAATACTTGCTCCAAGATCACAAAGACAGCTCTTGAAAGTTATCTTTTTGAGTTCAAAAGGCAAAGTGAAGCATCCAGGATCTTCAAGCTTCTTGATGTTCAGGACCTCAGTCTTGGCAATGGCTTTCTTCAGCTCTGTCCCAATATCAAGACCTCTAAGCTTCATTTGATTGGCATAGAGAGTGGTGCACTTATCCATAAGCTGCTTCTTATACCTTCCAAGAAAGGGGAGAGCTGGCTTGTAAGGAGAATGATCATAGATTCCAGTTTGTTTCTCAGCTTGATTCTCCTCAAAACTCTCCCCCCCCCCCCCCCCCCCCCCCCCCCCCCCCCCCCCCCGTCCCCAATTTGAAGTTCAGTGTCCTTATTGAGCAGA